TAAAAGTAATAATAGAGCAAAAGTAGTCCTACCAGTACTAATAGAAGAAACATGCTGTGAATGTTTTGAAGGTAATGTCGTAGAACATGAAGCTTTGGTAAATGTTTTATGAAATGTGCTGTGCATATGTACTCACACTCTATCTTGGTGAAGCTGAATAAATAACATAAAAAATTCTTCAGCACATCCTGCTTTCATAGAGCTAAACAGCATCTGGCCTTTTATTTTATTCCTCAAGGTTAGCTGCTTTCCATTAGACTGCAGCTCTTTAGAATTTGTCAAAAAACCAAAGTTGACTGTTAGGAGATGTGCAAGAAAGAAAACATCATGCTTTATCTTTTCAGTATGGCAATTATCTTCCCCATATTGGTTCCAGCTACAGTTCACTTGTGTTTCAAGGAACAAAAACTTTTGATACTAGATCTTCAAACATCAATAATATCATAAGCTTCAGAAAAAAAAGAAAAATAAAAAAAAGGACAGTCTTTTGACTTATAATACAAGATTATCTTTCCTGTCTCACATCCCAGAGGGTGCACCAATCACCAAGTCTCAGAGGAACTGACTACTGGAGGCAATGCATACACTTCAAAACTTCTCCAAGGAGTAATTTCAATTGCAACAGTAGGTTATAATGTCAGAGGGCTGTCTATGGATGAGCCTGAAGTTCATTAATAGAAATGCAGGTGTTCTGTGTTAGGGAGCACAGGACAAGACAAATGTGCTAGTCTTACCAAAACTTCTCAGCTGATCTTTTGAATTGAGGCAAGTGTTTGATTGGTTTTTTTTTATCTCATGATGATTTCAGTATTTCTGTATGAAACTTGCAGATTTTTTTGGTGCAGCTGATGAAGTATATTGCTGTAGGCAATGGCATCCTCAGACTGATAATCCAGAATCCCTTCTGATGATGACTTTGAGATTCCATCTCCATTTTCCCCCTGCCACTATTACTTTATCCTGTGAAATAATGTCTTATTATTGATAAATACCCTTTCTTATCAACAAAACAGAAATTGAACTTTTTAAGATGGTTTCCAATCCTGTTCAAACTTTTTTTCAGTTTAGCATACTACAAAACTAGTAATCTCTATGTAGGTAAGTGGAACATGGCATACATATTCTATTTGGGGTCAAACAAGCAACATTTTGGTCATGCAAAGAGAGGCAAAACCTGATCCTCAGATTACAGTCAGAGAAACAATGACTGTGTGCTAAAAGGTTTTTCCTTCAAATTTGCTAGGTTTGACACATCACTGCCAATAAATATGAACTAATTTTAAGTCTAGAATATAAATACAGAAAGGCTGATCTGTCATTCTAATAGATAAGAATCTGTAAAAATATTAGGCCATTTCTCAATAGGCAAATACCTTAATTATGTGTGCATTTAGAGGTTTTGTTGGATTTTGGGGTGTGATGTTGGGGTTTATTTCTGTTCAGAATCTTGGAGAGACATCACTTGCAGGCAATATAAACAGGTATCAGTAATAAAACCCTGTATGAAAAGTACCTGTAGCAGGAAGAAAAAGAAAGTGAAATGCATTTGTGTTTATGAATTTGATAAGAACAGCTTAAAAATGGAAGTGCAATAAATTGTTTTAATATGTTTATTTAGGAAACGGGTCTGTAGTGTTACTTAATATATTTTCTTCACTGAAATGTGTGGCGAAAAATGGTAGTGTTGGTTACCTCGAGGTGCCCTAGCAACAATAACATAGCTGCCACTTACAACAGTGTGCTTGACGAAGCACTGTTCTCGCACTCAATTAAACTATCATGTTGACAGGAGAAAAATGGATCCACTTTGTTGCAGACTGTCAAACATGCTTTGCCTTCCAACCTCCATTATTCTATCTAAGTAAAATGTATCAAACCACTTAACTGTGCCTGTCACTGGGAGGGGGAAAAAAAAAAAAAAAAGAGTACCGTTTTAACTAGGAAAGTTCTGAATACCCTTCCCAAATTTCTGAAAACATTAGTAATATTATGTACACATTTCTAATTTTTATCATGAAAAAGTGTCAAGGAACTTTCAGAAAGAGATATTCCATCCTTCTTTCTTATGTGAGGCCTTTCTTATATCAATTTCATTTTTGTCAGCAGATAAATGATTTTCTTCCACTGAAGAATAATTATATAAGCTCAGATTTTTGTCCTTTTTTGTTGTTGCAATATAAAGTTTCCTCATAGCTAGAAAAATCACTGTATGTATGTAAGGCTATAGGCAGACTCTTCTCTCCCCGTTATACAAACGCTCATTACATGGCAATCCAGTAGGGACTGATGGTAGGAAAGTGGACAGAGAGCCACATTCTAGTGATTCCTGGATACTGCCGAACCACTTGTGGTGTTGCAGACTGCCACAGAGCACAGTTGCCCTTATGTGATGAAAGGCATGAAATTCCCTTCTGAAGGAAAGCTAAACGGTAAAGGTCTCTTTAATCCTGCTGAGCGATGCTCTGATACAGCTGTGTAACTGACTTGCTTTGACATTAATTTAGCTCACTCTTCTTTCTGATGCTTTGAGACTGCAACAAAGAAGAATGTTTTGCCACACAGTTGTCCTCAACACTCTGCCAAGTAACTGTTAGCAGCTAAGCAAAGTGACATCTGTGCATGTGGCAATTGTCTTTAGTCTGAAGCTATTTCTCTTAAATCTAAGCCTGAGGGCTTGAATCATCATTTCCCTGCATCTTGCCAATTGCAGGGTGTTATTTTTGCACCCATTTTTTGTTTGGAAATAACTACTGAAATGAAAGACACTGAAAAAATAAACTCTGTTATCAAGTAGCATTTACATTTTTATTCTTATTTTTCCTCTACACTAATTTGAGATCTCTGAGAATTTGAAAAAGTACAATTTAATGGGTCTAATTCAGTATTCAAGGCTTTCTAGCATTACTACCATTGAATAAATTCAATTATTCATTCTATCTTAAATATTAAAAATAATAAATTTATTTGGAATTTTTCTCCTCTGTGAAACTAATTTACTTAAATAGAGACATCTGGTGTCATTTTGATGCTCTAAGCCATCCCACCTGGGCTCCAGCTCTTCCTCCAGATCCATGTGAAACCCATTCACGTCTTAAAAATTCAAGTACATTTAAAATAACACTAGATAACTCAGTTAATGCAAATTTATTGTAGCTGCATTTTCCCTTGTCTCACCCTTACCTGCACAGGTAATACTTAGCATTGTCTCTACTTGTCCAGAATAAAGATAACAATGAAACAAATATGTGGCCACCACATTTTCTCTTCCTAATCCTGCAATATAGACAGGCTTTCTGAATAACTTATTCTCATACATAGTAAGAGGAAATAATACTTACTCTCTGATAACTGAAATTTTGATTTTTGTAAACCAAGAGACAACATGTAGTCAGTTCCTCAAATTGCAGAAATTAGCATAGCACCATAAAAGTTGTTATCTCTTGCAAATTTGAAAGAACTGAGAATCTGACTTCCATTTGTTGTGTAGGAAATTTGTCTGTCAGAAATTTATGTACAAAGAATACGAAGAACTCACATACTTATATACAAACAGGTAAGACATGAACAGTAATATGAAATAAAGAATATACCTTTTTACTTTATCAAGACTGCAATGCTAAATTTAGCATACATATGTAGACATATAGTAATAAAGCTGATCTTTCACTTTACAATTAGGAATTAGAAAAAAGAATCATGCATAGTCAGTTTACAAAAGATTTGCTCAGAGGAAGATAAATGCAGGTCAGAAATTTTCTATTGGCACCATGTCAGTCATGCACAGAGTTTCCATTGAATGGCCTTACTGCACTCAGGATAAGATGCTTCTGTCCACGTGACAAAAGTGAGAAGCATTGTGTTTAATTCCCAAATAGTTTTAAACTTGTGCATGCAGAAGGTGTTGCCTTCTTTAAAAAGTGACCTTTAAGAAAAACACATTTTAAAAAAATCTTTATTTCCTTTTCATTAATAGGGAAAAGTTGCTTGACTAGCTTGAAAAGCCTCCAGGAATAAGCTTTTTCTTTTCTTGTGAGTTGGAAAAAAAACCAATACAAAATTATACAGAATAAATAGTAAATATAAATCTAGCAAGAATTCACTGAAAAAATAAACCTGCAGTGTTCTATGTTTTCTTTAACCTATTTTTCCTACAACACTTTATTTTCTTATAATTTCAGAAAATATATTTTTGTACAAAGAACTAAATACTTTTATTCTTCCTCATGTGTGTGTATTGTTGCAGTTATTCTGTCTGAGTGTTGTTTTTGGGTAGGGTGGGAAAGGACCTGTATTTGCACTTGGAATTTCCTAGCCATAGCAAACTCATTTTCTCCAAGAATATTTAAACCAGCACAGAAGTTATTTATATACAAGTATATATATATATATATATAAATCAAAGTTAATAAACACAGTAACATATTTACAGCTGATTCTCAGTAGCCTTTCAAATTGCCCAGGATTATGAGTTGAAACACCAGTGATGCACAATATTTTATAGCAGCAGCTCAAGAAAAGATTGTCCAAACTTAGGTAAAGCTATCAGATAGGGAAAGTAGCAAAAGGCTTACTTTTTCTTCGTTGAAGATATTGGGTAAATATAATTACATATTTTTCCCTCCACATATGATACAGAATGCACATGATGAAGTTCTGTGTAAAATACTTAAATATTTGCAGGCTCTGGGTGCACACACAAAAATATTTTATCTTTTTTTCTTTTTAATTGACATTTAGTATGAAAACATTTCAGCTCCTTTCATATTTATTATAAGCATATTTCAGGTGTAGTTGTAGACAGTGGTCACGTATGCAGTGTATGTACTAACCTAACAAATACACTCTAACCATATAAATACAAACGCAAGTATTGGGGGGGTTGGGGTATTTTTTTAAGGAATATAATTAAATGCAGAGTAAAAAAAAAAAAAAAAAAAAAAAAAAAAAAAAAAAAAAAAAAAAAAAAAAAAAAAAAAAAAAAAAAAAAAAAAAAAAAAAAAAAAAAAAGTAAAGATAATGAATATTTTCCCATGGATAGGGTACAGAATGGAATGCCATACACAACTTTTTAAAGTTATAAGGAATATTGCAATAAGCAATCTTCCTCCCACACTTCAATCACACAAAATTCATGTTTTATTTGGGGTGAGACATATTGCCTGCACACAGTCCCATGGCTTCCCACAGTGATCCCTGAGTTTTTCTTTGCTAGGATTACTGCTGTGCTTAAGTTCTGACTGTTGACATGTAAGGCACTTTTATTTACAATGGTTCCAACTTAAAATAAAATTACAGAAATTCGGCCCCAGCCCAAAATATTATCACCTCATGTTTGTTGCTCCAGGACTTCCAGGTAGTCAGGCTCAGCATGTAAGTTAGCCTTGAGTTCAAAATACTCATTTTTAGTTTGTTCTAGAAAAACCTTTCTTGGCCTGGAGTACATGAGTGTCTCCATTAGCTTCAGCTCTTCATGTGCTCCAGGATAATGAACTTCCATGTCAGGCTGGAGCTGGACAATATTTTTTCTTAGGTACTCTGTGATCCCTAGTTGCTGGAGTTCTCTCTCTTTCTCAAGAATGTTTCTATACAAGCAGCTAGCATCCTGAAAAGACAGAAATTCAGCAGATTGATCTGTAGCCTTGTATTTGACATTTGGACCTGTAAGTGGTGAACTATTCTCTCTTTCCAGGAGACTTCGGCGAAGATACTTGCAATCGTTAGCGTCCTTCTCACTTCCCTCCTGCTGTTGTTGCTCAGTGTGCTTGGGGCTGAAGGACGGGCTTCGGTAGACCTGCACCATGGGGGTGACCATACGTTGCTCATAGAGAGTGGCAGCTGGGTGTTCTGTTGTGTGGTGTGTTGTCTTATGCCCGTACATGCTGTACTGCAAGTGAACTGGGCTACTGTCCCTCATTTGCTCATCCACCTGCTTCTTTTTGCACCTTCGTCGCCGATGAAGAACAAGAACAACTATTCCTGCTGCGCAAAATACAATAGTTATAAACACAATGAGCAGTCCTAAGATTAGAACAGAAAGTGGGACAGCATCTGTAAGGGACCGTAGGATGGTATCTGCAGTGTTGGCAGTAGGAGAAGAAGTTGTCAAAACTACAAAATTGGCATGAGTTGGTAGGGCAGGGCTGTTTATTAAACCCGGACACAAGACTTCACTGTTCAGGGATTTTAATTCCTTTTTTGCTAGATGCCCCGGAGATTTGCAAAAAATACCACCCATCATGGTATTCTTACTCAGTTTTTGTATCCATTTTTGCAGACCAACTGAATCACAGGTACAGTCCCAAGGGTTGTCTTCAAGTTCTATTTGTACCAGCATATCCAGTTCATCCAAGACATTGCTCACTGGCAAATGAGCAAATTGGTTTGTTTTCAGATTTAATCTAGTGAGGGGAATACCTGAAAAGATATGAGGTGGCAAAGCCTGCAGAAGGTTGTTATTTAAGTAGAGGACTTTCAGTTTTGGCATTACATTAAATGTCCCTGGCAAAACTTCTTTGATGGCATTATATTCAAGGTACAAGTACTCAAGGTGCTGAAGGCCAAGGAAAAGGTTCTGACTTAACTTGGTAAGATGATTGCCATTGAGATATAATTTCTGTAGTCTAGTCAGGTTCATAAAGGAACCTTCCTCAAGGATTTCAATGCGATTATTCCCCAGGTGAAGCATTTCCAGGCTGGCATAGTCCACCAGATCTGATTTCAGTAATGTCTGAATAATGTTTCCAGCCAGAATAAGCTTTTTAGGATTTGGAGGAGGTGGTCCTAAGTCAGACAAACTTTCAATATTTCGCTCCTGGCAGTGCATAAGAACTCCTGAGAGCATATGGCTGGTGCAGTGACAGGGGACGGGACAAGAGATTCCTGGAAACGTAGTAGGCTTTGAAGTGTGAAGCACTAAACTTGGTTCTTTAGTAGGAGCTTTCAGAAGAGGAATCACCTTAGTTGATAGGTGACTATCACTGATAGAGGTGGTCACAACCAGGGGTAGTGACCCTGAAGGATCTTCAAGTTCGTTGACAGGATGAGTAGGACAAAGTGATTCTTTTTTCAACCGGCTTAAGATGCTGCCTTTAATAACTGAAGGACTATTGCATACAACATCACCTATTATTGACTGAGGAGGCATGTTTTCTAGCCATATCTTGAGCTGCAACAAATCACAGTTACAGACCCATTTATTATCTTCCAGCTGAAGGTCTAGTATTCTACCAATGTGTTCCAAAAAGCCAACATAAGGCAGTGTCTGTAACTGGTTTCCACGCAGATCTAAATGGGTCAACGGCACAAAACGAAATATGTTTGGAGGAAGATACTCAATGGCATTATCATTCAAAATAAGCACTTTAAGCCTGTTGAGCTTGCTGAAGGCACTTGCTTCAATCACTGTGATGAAATTGTTGTCTGCTTGAAGAAACTCCAAATTTTCCAATCCATTAAACGTATCTTCTTTAAGTGTTTCTAAAGAATTGTGATTGATATGAAGTTGTTTAAGAAGGCTGAGACCATTGAAAGCCCCAGGCTCAATATCTGCAATATTGTTAAAACCAAGATGTAGAGAGATAGCATTAACAAGGCCAGCAAATTCATTCATGTGTAACATACTCAGGCCATTGTTTAACAAATTAAGATGGAAAGGCCGTGATGGTGGGACATTTATTTCTGAAACCATCTTGATGCCTCTTTCATCACAGTTTATAATAATGGTATCATCCTTTTCTTCACAGGAACAGAGATTCTGACAAGATCCTCTGGCTGAAGAAAAAGAGGGCTGTGACTGGAAAGGATCAGATGCAACCACAACTGAATATAGAATAAAAGTCCAAAGCTTCATCTTGTCCAGCAGATTCTAATAATAAAAAAAAAAAAAAAAAGGAAAAGTAATAGAGTCATGATTTCACAGGGTTTGGGTTGTATTCTGTTGTTTGTTTGTTGTTTTTTTTCTAGGGCAAAAGGGAGAAAAAAACATTCTTAATGCTTGTTATTGAGCTATCCCATCTTTTAAACAATATTATGCCACTCAAAACAATTGAATTATTTTCTAATATAAGAATATATATTCAGTTTAATCTACTGAATCAATAAACAGTCATAAGGGAAGATAATCAGGAGTGTGTTGCCTTCATTTATATAGCGTACCGATTTTCAGTGGACTGCACTAATAAGTTACTGTTCCAAGCAACTTATATAGAAACCAATATAGTATTTTGGATCATTGCTTTGTGTCACCAAATAGCACTGCAAATTTTAAGAGTACCTTGCTAAGCTTAACTTAATGTTATCCAGCTGCTGATGAGAAGAAATAAGATTTGGTTTGGTTCAACAATATATTGTGAACACAAGCCCATTCAGTCAGGATACAGGGAATTTCCCTTAGGTTCTGCATTATATATGGAAATCAAAAGGTATTTCCTCTGCAATCCTTGTACCCACAAACTGAAAAGGAAGTAGACAAAATAATTATTTTTCTTTTTTTAAATTTTAATGCATATATTGTTGTTTGTAAATATTTAGTAGAAGAGGTACCACAACATATAGTCGTGTAACATTTGCATATAATACACACATAAAAAAATTGTATACATGATTAAAGAAATAAGAAGAGAGAACTGACAATGCAGTACATTTCAGACGAAACAGGTAAGCAAGGAAAAATTTGTTTTGAGATTAACATTAGACTCCTTCTGATTATTATAATCATCAACTATCACAGAAGTTCTGAAATGTATATGGAACTGACTATGCTTTAAAATTAAAAATTATCACCACTGTCATCCATACGATATGTAACATAATTATCACCTTTCAAGCTGATCTTGAACTTTGCTGTACCTGGTAAATGAACCATTCCAATACAACTATGGACTCACAAGCAAAATTTATATGTTTAAATAAATCATTTATTATTGGTTTGAATTAACTTGTGCTACACTCCATTTAAAGCTCCTCTGTTTCTTTTTGTCAAGGCTGTCAGTTCGTAAGAACAATAGTAACTCTTGATATCTGAGGTAGAGTGAAATCATTGTTTATAATCTTTAATTAAATATTTACACATATCCTAAAAACTATTTAAAAAAATTAAAAAATATTAAAATAGAATGGATGATTTATAAATCAATAACTTTTATGGGCTGTGATATTTATGTGAAGATTCTCAAGGAATCTATCTAAGCCGGATTCTTAAATAATCCATCTAATAAAGGTAAGTTGATCTTTCCAACTAAGCTATGAAACAGCGAGTACAGAATACCACTACACAACTAGCTGTGTTAATTTCTGAAAGATTAGAACCTTTTATGAGGATCAATTCAGTTACATGCATGAACATTCTTTTAGTGTGGCCACATGATTTGGCATCTCATCAAAACATATTTTAATTGTCATATACCTTGTTTCTGGAGACAACGTTTCTCAAGGCTTTCCTTAGAACAGATTGCAAAGATTTACATATGCAAGGATTTGAATGCTGTGGCATGAATATTACATACACACACACACAGAAGGAACAACAGTTAATGTGTGCACAGTGAATTATGTTTTTCTCCATTAGCAGCTCCTGATAAGTGGGAGTAGAAGCATGAGTTTAGAAGTTGAAAGTGCAATTCACAGTGTGAGAAAAAGTGTCCCTAAAATGAGCTTTTATCTTTGTTTCAGTAGAACAAATAATTTTACTGTCTCATATAACACTCCCTGAACTCCAGTTGCCTATGTTTAATATATATGCCTATAAACCTGTTTTCCCAAGAAGTATTGGATAAGACACAACATGTCAAGATGTTATTTTGAAGTATGCAGAATAGTTCCAGGATCATATTATGCTAGAGATTTATTTTTTTACATGTATCACTACCCTTCCCAGTGACCCAAGTTAAAAAATATGAGCTCTTGACTCAGATGCCAGCTTCAAACCTACTGTATGACTAATTTAACTTTATTTCTGTACACTTTTTCTCATCAGAAATTCCAACGTCAATCTGCATCAAATTCAAAGTGCACTTATAAAGTCCCTGAGCAAAATTAAATCAAAAGAAAAAAATAATAATCTGAAAGGCATGTTGCATTGTAGTGCATTTTGAGAAACTGGGTTATAAAAATGAAAGCCCTCCTCTCAGAGATGAAAGTAACAACATTTGTAACCAATTGGAAAACATTCGCATTTTAATCATCGTCATACTTCTGTGAGCAGCACTGCCAGAACTCTCACACACACATATATACACACAATAAAAATTAATAGGAAGGTTTTATTCCTTTTCCTTGGTTTTATTTTCTTTTTTTCTAAACACTCAGAAATATGTAATGAAGTTCTCAGTGGGCTACTATTGTAAAATAAAAACTCCTTTCAAGTAATAGATTATTAGCATTTAACTGAAGGAATGCAGAATAAAATAAAATTTAATTTAAAATTCTTGACAAAGCTGACCTTTTTGTATTCCACGTGGTGAAGTTTTTTAGCAAAATCTACATGGTAACAAGTTTTTTTTCATTTCATCTGCTTTCATCTAAGTCACTGCTGACTGCATACAGTAACTAAGCTCTGTAGGAATTCTAAAAGACTAAAAAATGTCACTGTCTTTTCTATGAGGCAAAGTTGAATAGTTTCAGAAGTAGTTACCTTACAGCAAAGATATCGCATGCTTGATAAGTAATAATTTATGTGTTTTTGCAGTATTGAAATAGCTTGTTTCATTTGTTAGGGTTTCTTTGTTTGTTTGTTTTAATTCAGCTATTTAAAAAATGTATGTTGAAGATTTTCAAAGCCTCAAGTTAATCACTGGTAATTTCTGAAAGCCTTCAGGATTGTTTATTAAATTCTGAAGGGAATCACAGTCAGATGATGCATTTAAGACCACTCTTGCACTTCAGGAAATAAAAACAAACACCCATTCCTCTCCCCTCAAGGGATTCGAAAACAGCGTTCCCTTAATACACACATTCTACACAGTTAGCAGTTTGAATAAACGTGCCTGGCAAACTGTTTAGAATACAGTACAAATTGCCATTGTTTAATATAAAAGTTATACAAAGTCATGCAGAAAAATAAATTCAACTTGTACTGAGAAATTAAATTTTCATGTGCTAGGCTAATTAACTAACTGAAATCTTTCTTACCTGTACAGCAGTAACACTCCCTGAAACACTCAGCAATGCACTGTTGGAGCAGCTGCTTCAATGCAATGTAAATTTTCCCACGGAAAAATGCACACTTTCTTCCGAGTTTCACTTTGCTGCAAGCTCTGGTAATGCTACAGCTCCATAAAGTTAAAATCCTTCTTCAGAAGACAAAGTACAAAGCATTCAATTGAAAAAATCTTCCAGGCAGCCGTGCACATCAGACCATCCTGTAAGCAGTTGTCCTTTTTCCTCAATTAAAATTCACAGCATACTTCACAGCTAGGCTGACTTTTCTGCATATAGTTAACTGTTTGCAAGCATTTGGATGCAGTAAATAAACAAGATGCTCAGCAGAGCTTGACTTGATCACTTGGTTTGTCAGATTTTTAGATGCAAGCTGCTCCTGTGTTCTCTCTGTTCTTTCTAGTCTTTCCTGTTAGCTCAGTTTGTTATTAGTCAGACTGCCAGGGGCTGGGAGGTAGGCGTAAATAAAGAGACTTCTTGGCTTTTGACTCAGCCTTTAAGCCCTTCCCCACCAGAGAGCTTTAATCTGCCAATGTCATTTAATACAAGATACAGCTCCACCTTGAGACAGATCAGCTCCTCCTCCTCCTGCAATTCCCCTCACCTCCTTTTTCCTTTATCCAAGTGAAGCTTAGAAAGTAAAATTCAACTAAATATCTTCTAGATTACTTAAAGACTATTAATGACTGATTTTGTAAAGGAATAAACATCCACTACAGCTTTTGCAGTTTGTCATCTTGGGTAGATCTTGCATTTAGTTTGTGTCTGCAAATGCTTGCTTTAGAAACCTGAAAGCATTCCAGCCCAAATACAATCCCCAAAAACACACCACAAGGGAAACCTTGTCCTCTGGAAAATACGTCTATTACATTGAAGTGAAGAATTATTCAAATATATAAACGAGACAGTAAAGCTCTCAATCCATTCCACTCAGTGTGACTGGGGTAGAGGTGAGTATCTACAGTTGTACATACTTTATTTCTGAAAAAAAAGGAAACCAAATTGTGGAATATTAGTGCTTATGTTTGCACAGCAACTGCCACCAGTCCTTTTTGAAACTGTCCATCTTGTTCTGTAGGAAGAAGACTGCGTTGATTGTAATTGTCTGTTTTACAGATGTTGGCACAGTGAGTTGGTATCTGTCCATGTGAGATTGTGTTGCATTTGCATGAGATATTGCTTTGATAAAAAATGGTCTGGTCTGCGGGAGGACATTTTTAAAGGCATGCATCATGCTGGAGGTATTATTTTTTTTGTGCTCATAAACAAGTAATTAGCAGATACAGTAGGGCAACAAGAAAATCTTTATTCCATGCAAGGAAAATTTTCTTTATCCCTCTTACACTGCAAGGGATGGTTTTATAAGCTGCTCGTTCATCCCACTGTCACAGAGCCACAAAACCTTTGGGTGAGCAACAATAGGTCTGGTGCTCTGGCGTATTTACCGTCTAGAACATACCATTTCTGTTTTGTTCTTGTTGTGTCTTAGATTACTCGACAGATTGTTTACTGCAGCCTCCAACCAGTCAGATTCCAGTTACTGCTTTTGTACAGATAGCTGTCTAGATGGCCTCATTGGCTTTTGAAGGGGTACTGTAATGTACTGTTCCACGTGATGAAGGCTACCAAGATCTTGTCCTATATTTATATCCACATACACAGACATAATTGCTTACATACAGGATCTGCACATGACTTTTTAGAATGAGTTCCTCAGTACTTAATATTTCAAAGATAAAATATGTAGTATAGCAAAATAATAATAATAAAAAAGATGAAACATTCCTAAGGAGCAGTAACAATTTGATTTCCATTAATTTCAAGACATTTCAACTCATTTCAACATATTTGACTGCAATTGCTATTTTTAATGAATCTTGCCACTCTATCTAGACTTGCAGACATTTTAAGGCTCAGAAGTTCTCAGCTATCTGTGACTAGCCAAATAAATAATTATATCCTTTATTAATTTTGAATTTATGAATTTTAAGTCATATTACTTCTAATTTTTAGAGAACATTTTACAAGTCTTTACACTTCACTTGTGGTTTGCTGTTTGAGATGGAGAATATCTGTACAGACATTTACACCAGAAATGAAAACATCATTCTTTGCTTTTCAGGTGACACCCACAAGAATAAAATCTGATCACAAAAATATTTCCAGAGATCAACAGCTAAAAATAGAACAACATTTCCTAACCATACAAAATTAAATATTTATCAATATTTCTCATTTCAAAAACTTCATATTTGCCAGGTTATGGTTAATGATTGCCTTTCTACAATAATTTTATGAATCATTAAGCAGATTATTGTAAAGAATATGATTCTGCACATGCATCTCATGGACAGTGCTGATCTGACATGGAGTTTGTATCTTATACTTCAAGTATTCGCCTTTATCGATTACTCTGACAATTTTAAATTTTGTGAAGCTTTAGAAATAAAATCTGAAACTGTCAGGGTTGCTTACTTCCAAAAAAGGCCTTAAGCATCTATGTCATTCCTCTTTACCACTTCACAAAGAATTGCATTTCCATAAACCAGAAATGAGACCATACTCATATAACTATATATATTGTGCGGATCTCTCTTTCAGTGAGTTTTTTCTTGTCAATGCATAGATGTAGAGAAATTTCAATTTTCTTAACCATGTAAATCTTGTATTAATACCTTAAAAAAGAATGTTCTAATATTATGTACCATATTTTATTGAATTCTGTGTTATATAGTAAGCTGTGCAGGTTTCTTTACCTGTGTAAATCACAGAGGAAACGCCTGATCCTGAATTATGTACATTGTAAAGTTTGATATGAGCATAAATTGTCCCTGTAGACTTTCACTGCATCTATTGTTTTTTTCTGAGTAATACATTCCCTCTGCTCAGGAAAATTCTGAACACTACAGCGATGCCCATAAGAAGCAGTGTAAAGGTTTCTCACACTCTTTCAGTCAAGACTCACTAACACTACATCTAGATTACTACAGAGAGCGTTTTCCATAAAAAAAGCTGTTAATTTGCAATGTGGAAGTTTGGCTTACAATTTACAGATTAGTCTTCCAAATGTGAATTTTCATGGTGCTCTACTCACTTATTTGTAATTTCAGTATTAAAAATAGCAAGAGAAATAAGGATCTGCATTTTCTATTTCAGTGGAAAGAGAAGGCCTCCTCCCCCATCATTCACAACTCATCACCACTTCTCAGAATGCACATAAGGAGCCATTGATTCAACACAAGATGTAGGAACCAAATAACATATCTTTCCTTGCCTGCAAGAAGCTGCTAGTCCTTATCAGCAACTCTTCATCTATACTTCTTACAACATGAACAGTTTGAACTCTGTATAAGTACTGGTCTGAAAGCTTAAGACACCATACTGGAAGGAAGTGTTTTCCCAGAACAACTAAGTAGCACTTGAATATTCACACCTGAGAGAACCTGCTGAGGAATTCAGAACTCATCTATATAGTATACATGAAAATTGCATGTGGAAGAACAGTCACCAAGGCTAAGACTTGACTAAGTAGGATCAGAGAACATAGCACATGCACATACACACATATAAAACAAACAGAAGAACCCCCATAATGTGACACAGCTATAATTATGGAAGCTACCAATGCCTATGATATTATTTAATTCTGTTACAGAACACTTATTTTCCTCACAGAATTATTGCCCATTTTTATGTACTAGGATAGATCTTCTGGTCTGAACACACTGCTTCTGCGGCTTTTTGCAGTCATGAACACATTGCAATTGTCAATACAGGTCAGGATTCCCTTCTAAAAGTGATATGCAGGCGTTGTGCTACTCCCCAAGTGTTTAGTTTCCTTTTTATATGAACATTATTGAGAGACAAGTTTCTGAAAAATCTCTGAAAAATATCTACAATTTATAAGAAAACAATCAAATTAAAGCAAAAAAATTTTATTACCCTAATGCAGTTTCCAAGTACATTAACTTAGACCCATATATGGATACCTAATATACAAGTATACAAATGATAAAACCATAGAATCATGGAATGATTTATGTTGGAAAGGGCTTTAAAGATCATCTAGTTCCAATCCCCCTGCCATGTGTAGGGTCACCTTCTACTAGACCAGGTTGATCAAAGCCCTATCCAACCTGGCACTGAACACTGTTAGCGATGGGGTATCCACAAATTCTCTAAGTGAACTGTGCTAGTGCCTCATCACCCTCACAGCAAAGAAATTCTTCCTAACATCTAATCTAAACCTACCTGCCTTCAGTTTAAAGCCATTGCCCTCATAAAAATTATCCCTTCAGATTTCTTGTAGGCCCCCTTCAAGCACTGGAAGGCTGCTAGGGGGTCTCCTCAGAACCTTTTCTTCTGCAGGCTGAACAGCCCAAGTCTCTCAGTTTCTCATCACAGGAGAGGTGCTCCAGCCTTGTGATCATCTTTGTGGCTCTCCTCTAGACTCACTCCAAAAGGTCCATGTTATTATGCTGGGAGCCCAAAAGGTATATGAAGTGCCCCAAATCCTTCTCCTCAGGGCTGCTCTCAATACATTCTCCATCCAACCTGTATTTTTGCTTTGAATTGCCCTGACCCATACGCAGAACCTTGTTGAACTTCATGAGGTTTGCACTGGCCCACCTCTCAAGCCTGTCAAGGTCCCACGAGGAGGAATCCCTTCCCTTCAGTGTGTCAACCACATCACAAAACTTGGTGTCATTGGCAAACTTGCTGACAGTACACTAATGAGAGTAATCTATGTCACCAACAAAGATGTGGGTCCCAATACTGACCCCTGAGGGACACCGCTCAACACTAGTCTCCACTTAGACATCAAGCTGATGTCACTGCCCTTCCCTCATCCAAAAATGTTGTAGAAGGCCACCAAATTTTTCAGGTATAATTTCACCTTAGTAAAACCATGTTGGCTGTAACCAGTCACCTTGTCCTTTTCCATGTGCCCAAGCATAAATTCCGTGAGGATCTGCTCCTTGATTTGTCGAGCACAGAGTTGAGACTGATCAATCTGTGGTTTACTGGGTCTTCTACATGCACATATAGCACTGTATTGGTAATCATTGGTAATCACCATCATGCAAAAATCATTCCCTGAAAAAAATTTTTCAAAGAAAAGCATATTGAAGAACATATTAATAAGAACATATTAATGTTCTTTATATTTCATTTTTACATTAAAAAGTCATGTGGTCCTTTAAATGTTCTGCTTGAGTGAAAAATACATTTTATCCTACTATACTTAACAGAATGAGTCTTGCAAAATAGTGGATTCTTATTCATTTATTGAAATATGCAATGGAAACAGAGGAAACCAAAATATTTTCTCTTGCATACTTCTTCTTTAGTAATCCTGTTTTATTATACTAATCAGCTTATTGTAAATGTGTAACCATTTTTGTAATTTGCACTGTTTCCTTCTTCAGTATCTGTGCAATAGGTCTTGAATCTTCTCTGTATTTCCTTTTTTTTACTTATTGACAGAGAACTCCCAGTTCTACATAATATA